CTACCTTCATCAAGGGCTGTTTTCTCATGGAAAAGTAACGATGTTGGACAAAACTTCTTAGACCCCTTCCAGTTAAAAAAAAATTTGTTTTAAATTCAGGCCTTCTCACACACTGCTAGTTGGAATACTAGCAAGTTCATGTGGTACATGGACTTTGGAGTTATGTTTCAAATTCCTGAACTTGGACAACCATTCTGTTTCTGGTTTTTTAAAAGTAAAAGGTGAGAGATTTATGATCTGAAAAGGAAACATATATCCCTTTCTTTTTTGCAGTATCAGGGATTGAACCCAGGGGTGCTCTACCACTGGGCTACATGCCCAGTCCTTTTTATTTTTTTTATTTTAACACAGGGTCTCATTAAGTTGAGTAGGGTGATATTCAACTTGCAATCCTCCTGCCTCAGCCTCCTGGTCGCTGAGATTTCAGGCAAGTGCCACCATGCCTGAGTCCTTATTTCTTAAATAAGGATTAAGTTACTWAATAAGGTCTTTGTGAAGATGAGTTAATTGATATCTAAAATCTAGCTTAGAGTTAGCACAATAGATAGTGGCTATTAGAAGGGAAGGGGAGGTACTTGGGAACGAAACTGACTAAACTATGTTATGTACATGCACACACATACCACAATGATCCCCCCCCCCTTTTTTTTGTACCAGGGATTGAACTCAGTGGCACATAAACACTGAGCCACATCCCGAGCCCTTTTTTGTATTTTATTTAGAGACAGGATCTCACTGAGTTACTTAGCACCTCACTAAATTGCTAAGACTGGCTTTGAACTTGCTATCTTCCTGCCTCAGCCTTCTGAGCTGCTAGGATAAATAGGCATGTGCCACCATGTCCGGCTTGATTCCCGGTTTATGTATAATTATAATGTACCAATAAAGAAAGGTTAAAAAAGGAAATACAACCTCTTAAAACCAAAAAAAAAAAAAGTTGACATAATTTCCTTTAAGGAAACTGAAAATATGTAAACTATGAAAGTGTATATTTTCATCTCCCAAATGTAGTTCTAGAAATATTCTGAAATAATATAAAAATGTAACATAAGAACGTTCACTATAATATTGTTACTTATAATAGCAGAAAATCAGTGCTAATCTAAATGTTCTAAAATGGGGGACAGGGCAAATGCTAATGATGGTATACCACTGGACATCGTAATAGCACTGTGTTTGAAAAGGACATTTAATCAGATGGTAAAATGCTCATGGTATTTTGGTAAGCCAAAGACATGGRTTAGCTCTAGTTGTGGCAAAATGGCAGGTTAGACAAGCTACTTCCAAGCCCTAAGAGAGGTGTGAAGCTTCTGGCCACCACCAATGGACAAGTGGTGTCCACTAACAGTGCAAATTCCCAAGTTCAGTGTCAAGGGGGCAGAACCAGCAGGCCATGTCTGACAGCTAGAAACTCCAAAGGCACCAACCCCAACTTGAGCTAATGCTTCCTGTGATTGCAATTTGAACAGATAAAGCTACTGGGTAAGTATAAGAGAAAAAAGATTGGTTTGCCACTACTGCAAATGGATCTCTTACTTAATGGAAAAGAAAAAAATTTGATTTTCCTTGATTAAATCACAAACTTTGGACTTTAAGAAAACGAAAAGACAAGTCAGTGTCTCAYAGTTCTTAAAGTGATTAAGAGAACCGTTTTCTTTCTGCATAAAACAGTGAAGTTATCATTGATGTGCAAATAATTAATATTCTACTTCACCAGACCATTTGATCAATAATAACATAGTAACTGATTACAAGGAACTTCAGAACAAAATAAGAATTACTTAAATAGTAAACTGCTCTTTGTGATCCTGCAGACATAAGTTAGCCTCACAATCAGCAATGAGGAAACTGCTGGTGGATGATGTCATCAACTGAAAACTGCCTCTCTAGGTGACATCCTACAGTGGGAGAAGCTGTCTCTCAAAAGAACGTCAAGTCTCCAAGAGAAAGACACAACCATGATCAGAGTTCCCTGYGCAGGAGGTGTCCTAGTGGCCTTAAGACGGCAGAACAAAAGCTCTCTGTGGGGTAGCTGAGAAGGGCGTTCACATTCAGGACAAGGTGCTTGGTTTGCAGTGTTGCTGCTTCTCCTCCAGCCATTTCCAGGGCTGCAGGATATGGGGTGGGAAACAGGTAGGGGGCAGAAGTGCAGTGCAGGCCACATGCTGTCACTTTTGGCACAAACACTTCCCTTAGGAGGGAAGATGAACTTCATGGTGCCCTAYGAGGCCCTCAGCGAGGCCAGGAAGATGGACAGTGAAGGTGGAAAGACTCTGGCCTCCACCTCCATTTCGAGTCACAGACACAGCAGCTTTCTGTAACTCTGGGGTAAGGAAAAGTTCTGATGCTTAAAGAAAGGTCTGGAAGCCTTTCCTTAAACCAGGAGGGAAGGAGCAAAATGGGGAAGACGGTGATTAAGAGGAGGACGCAAGAAAGCAAGATCAGCCTTCTCTGAGATTTCCCTTGACTCAGCCTCTGCAGCCCTGAGTCCTGACCTGGCCTTTGCTCCTGGTGCGACCTTGGCCAGGAGTTCACTAGGTAAGTCAGCASAGCCCCCACATGCCAGAGGTGGAGCAGAGGCTCCATGGCCTCCTGTCCTGGAGCACAGGCCAGCACAAGCATGCTAGGCCCATCCAGGCTCTGGTCATCGCACAGCAGAAGGGAAGGCCCCTGCCTGTCTGCCATGTTCATCTAAGTCTAACACCCAGGTCCCACCTCCCACCTGAGGCTGCTCCAGCCTYCCACCCTCTGAGACCACCAGACTCCCATGCATTCAGTCACACAGTCCAAAGTGCCCTCAGACACTGTGCTCAGAGAGGCTRTAAGGATTCTTGGCTGTAGGTTTTCATTTGGTATTTAAATGACAAATACCTAGAGGACAAAGGCCATGGTATTTCTGCCTCCACCTCCAATACTTATTGCAGTCAAAAATATTTGACCAGAAAAAATGGAAAAAACAAGTTGGTGAAAAGGCCAAACAGAAGAGATAAAGAATATGTTAAGCAGAAAACAATAACAAAAAAATTACTAGAGAATGCAGATGAAGGCAGTGTGATGTGACATGAGACACGCCTCGYCTTCATATTTGTGGCCATTTATACTAGAGAGCAGAGATGAACAGAGGTCAATCTTGGTTTAGGAATGTCCTGGTATCAGAAATAACAAAAGGGGCAGGAGAATACCAACCACAGGTTAGAAAAGGCAGGATTCTTCAATGTCTTCTGCAGTTCCATACTTCTGGGGTTGCACTGGGATGCTCATATGAGTTCATGGAACTCATCAGATGGAGGATACAGGGATTAATTCCAGGTGGAGGATACCTGATTCTACTCCTCTCACCAGCTGGAAGACACTGGGATCCACTCCCCTCACCAGGCATAGCGTATGGGGATCAACTCCCTTCACTGGCTGGAGGGCACAGGGATCTACTCCCTTCATGCAGTGGAGGGTGCAGGGATCTACTGCCATCGTTGGGTGCAGGGTACACTGTCAATAAGATGAAGGGTCTCTTCCAGGTCCTGAGAACTGGGAGCCTCGGCAGGTTCCCTGTGGATAACAACCTTCACTAGTCCACACTGGAAGGAAAGCTGGTGTGAATTTCCTAGTGCACCATCCATCCAGATGAATGTCAGCTGATGATCTGACTTTACAACAGATGACCTGCCTAGTCAGCTTCCACCAGGTAACAGATCACCTGAAGCTAGCTAATGCGGGAAGACACCGTTAGGATAAGCACACTAATCTACTTTAATTCAATTAAAGGTATGTTTCCTCCACAGACACTTTATTGAAACTTTGATTACTATAAAGCCCAAATTTAAATATACTTGATTAAATATGAAGGCTTTATCTGTTTTCTTAATGTTAAAATTTGAACACTCTAAACTTTTAAAGTTTTAAAATTCTTTTCAAAAAAGTAACATAAAGCATTGCCATATATGATCCCTTTGAGTAGTCCTTCCTTACACTTAGAAACATCAATYATATTAAACTGCAGAGGAAGGGAGGGTATGCTGCCTTCCAGGCCACTAAGATTACGACCCTTGCGGCTAGTGACGAAGGTCAGAGGCCACAGCACTGTAGCTTCGACCCTTCTCCTGGCAGTGCCCTCCTGTTCTGATGGTAGGGGGCTGGGTAACAGCCTGAGGGACTTGAGGTGTTAATAAAGTATCTTCTAGAAGAGACCATAAAAAAGGCTGTAGAGGCTGCCAGTGTTTGGGACCAYGGCCAGGTGCATGGTTCTGGGCAGGAGGTGATGGAGGAGTCAAGCAGAGTCAGCCACAGGCCAGGGGGCAAAGGAAGGCAGCCCTGGAAGCTGTGGACAGACCCACCCAACAGAATGTTCWGCAAGAGGACCCTGACCTGCACCATCCTATGGTGGTGGCCACTAGGCCTGAAAACACAAGTGTAAATATAGGCTGGTGCAAGCGACTGGGGAGAGATAAGAGGGCAGTGGTACACACATGAGGGGCAGGGAGGGGTTTGGCAAACAGATGAGGGGAAGGCAGGGCAGAAACCAGCTTCACCTCACGGMTGGTCTTAGAACGGGCAGCAAGACCCAGCAGCAGGCAAAGGTGCACAGGACACTGGCCAGGGTGGGGAGCGAAGGAAACGCAGGACCACTCTCAGRAGTGCTTGCTAGCTTGCTTTTTGAGTCTTGTCTGCTGACATTACTATTACAGAAAGAATCGMAATTCCAGCATTCGTATTTTAGAGGGAGAAGAATATGCAGAAAGGKTTTTCTGGTCTTTATTTTTCCCCTTCCCCAAACAAAGGGGAAGGTGGTATAAGTTTGAAGACTGCTGACTAATTTTAGCCCTATGTATAATTTAAGACTGCAGAATATTCAAATTTCAGCATTTATTCTAGAGGTGCACCACTGCACCAGCCTACTCAAATGACACTAAGGCACCTGCTGTCTGCTACCTCTCTGCTACCCAGGTCAACTGGAATCCTCTTCGATGGCTGGAATGCGAGAGGAGAGGAAGCAACCTCTGAAGGCCACGGCGATCTAGATGGGCCTCACCTCGGAGTCAGAGCTGTCCAGCTCAGCCAGCGTGGGGGCCTTGAGGAGCTTCTTGCGCTGTGCAGGTGCTTGCTGGGCAGCAGGGGTCCCCCCAATCTCTGTCTGCGATGTCAGGCCTCCATTCAGCATAGATGGCTCCCCAWCATTCTTTGGAGATTCTGGGGTAGTCACATCTGGAGGAAGAAAGAGAGAAGCTCAGCTGTGCTTAAACCATCAAGGTAGGTGGTGCTGAAAACTGGCATCAAGCAACAAGCACCTCCTGATCACTCGGGCTTGGCACAGAGGCGCCTCGCCTTTGCCCACAAACCACTATGTTCAGGGTTTAACTGTTGAGACTTGATAAAGGAAACTTCACATGTTCACATTTGTAGTTCAGAATTCAGATCTGGGAGAAATCCTACAGACTCTTTTTATTTTTCAGATGAAGAAACTGAGGTTCTGAGAATCTGGCTTTCCTTTACCACTTCTGAGGAGGCAGAGGTGGGCAGAGGTAAGGATAGCACATGGAGCCTTACGGGCACAGTTCCAAGCTCTGTACGTATCTTGGACACYAGGGGCTGGAGTTGTGGCTCAGAGGTAGAGCGCTTGCCTAGCACTGTGAGGSACTGGGTTCAAGCCTCAGCACCACATACAAATAAAATAAAAACATTTTTTAAAAACCCAATATACCAGTAATTCATATACCAAAAATCAATATGCCAACAAACAAAGAATCTGGGAGATGTTCCCTCTCACACAGCAGATTTAAATTATTAAGGGCTCAAATTTGATGGGAAGTTAACATGACAAATAAGGAGGAGGAGGCAGCTCTCTACAGGAGCCTCCTGCCCAAGCTGCTTCCCCCTCTGTAACACAAGGACAGGGACAGAGGAGAGCTGCTGAGAGGGCGCAAGGCTGACACCACTCAAGGACACCCTGTAGGCAAGGTGGGCAACACCAGCGCCAGCATCTGTGAGCAAGTGAAGGCAGGCCCAGACTGGCACCCGAACCCCATGCCAGGCCCCTGCTCTGGGGCGCTCTCCTGGAATCCTCCCCTGCAAGTGGAATTAGTTTTCCTCACCATTTCAAGTAAAAACTTAAGTGTGGACTGAATTTAATAGCTTACTCAAAACAAGGGTACATGAAAGTGAGGAGGRGCAGCAGTAGGTTTTTCCTCAACAAATGATACTTCTACATCTGGAGTGTAAGAGGTCAAGTTCCAGGAAACAGTCAGTAGGCAAGAGTGCTCCACTGTGCAACTCCCGGGACACTGCCTAGGAGCCTGCACAAGAGACCTGCACACTGTGCCTACTGCAAATGACACACAGCTTATGCAACGTTTATAATCTCTGCTTATTTTTGGAGACAGGACGTCAGAGAACATGCACTTCTGAACATGAAGAAAGGTTTGAACAAGCTAGAAAAAAAGGATGAAAGGGTAAATTTTTTAAAAAAAACATTAGAAATTAAAAATTCAGAAGGTCTCTTCTTAGAYTGATTTTATAACTGATAGTTTGAGATGTCCGAGTTAAAATTTGTTAAATAATTTCCCAAATTCTGTATTTTGGTATTAATACTGAATAATATTTTGATTAAAAAAAGAAGAAAATAAACATTTATTTGCTAAAAAAAAAAGGATGAAAGGAAGAGGAAAGGGAAGAAAAAAGGAGGGAGGAGAAAAGAAGGAACAGAGAAGGCAGAGCATCAGTCAGGTTTTTAATACCTAACAATACACACACTTATTTTATTATTGCCTTCCTGGGGATTAAATGGTTAGAACAAATACATAATTGATGGTGTGTGTGTGGGGGGGGGTGGGTATTGAAAGAGAAAAAATAGAATAAACCCTTATATAAAATATAAGGGTTAAAATCATTAAATAATTCTTTTGTAAGAGATGTAGGGAGAAGTATCTTAAGTATTTTAAAAGTTTTCCAGAAAGCAAAAGAGGAAATGACTGGGCTAAATGATTAATTTCTATTCAAGAAAAAAAGTGAGAAATTTAAACAAAGTTTTAATCTACAGAATACTAACTCTATAGAATTCTAACTATATACATTTCCAAAGACTGCTCACATTGTTTAGGAGAAAGCACTCCTAAAGCTCAGACAGGCGAGAGCTTTCTCGCCTGTCTCACCTGTCTGAGCTTCTCACATTCCCACAGAGGCTCCCTCTGCTCCATGGGTGGCAAAGAGGAGGAGGAGGCCTGGGAACATGGCCAGCCGCCCAGTCCAGGATGGCCACACTTCCCACCTTGCTGCACCCCCACCACGGGTAGTGCTTAGGGCATGAGCAGCTCAGTGGTACATATTTATGAAAACTTTGTAAAAAATATAACCACTAATCAGATCCAGGATTTTATGGATATCATTGCTTAGGACAATGAAGAGAGTCATTTAGGGTAGCTTAAAAATCTTAAACAGTACTGGAGGCACTATGTGGAGTTCAGGGACAGTGGCTGCCCTGAGCTCATTTCAATACAGGGACGTTGAGAAACTGCCTAGCAGCTTCCTAACCATCTGAACACTGTTCTACGACAGCTGTCTCTTTAGCTCACTGATAGAAACTCCTGGAATCAACACCTGTTGGTATTTGGATTAAACTTTTTATTTCTTCTATGTAAGACAGCATATCTTGAGGGGAAAAATGGTGTTATATTAAAGATGTGAAATATTTAGACAGTTTTAGAAACACCTATATTAGGTGCAGAATCTAAAATGTATACTTATAATATTCAATATTTTATATAATAACTTTGTGCTGCCTTATTCTGTTTGAGGAAATGTGACTAGAATACAGGTTCTATATTTAATATATACATAGGAAAAATACTCACCTTRATTGATGCTGAGTGGACTGTTAGGACTTTCACTGAGAAATGACCTCTCTACGATGTTCTTAAGCAGCAGGATGTACTGTCTTATTCTACACTTAGATTCAAAAGTTATCATCTAGACTACAAGCTTCAAATGTTTACTCCTTAGTCTGTGCATTCTTCAACTCAGGAAATACACTCCTATCCTTAATAGAATTAGAAATGGACGAACCTTTCCTGTTTACAATCTGGGACATTTTGATTAATAGTCAAAATGCAATAATGAAAAACATAAAAGCACAAAAAAGAATGAAGCAGTTGGAAATCACAGAGTACATTAAGACACAAAATAAATCACAGCAAATGACAAATGAAGGCAAAACTCTCTGCTGGAGGGTGTAASTAACAAGAACTTTCTTCCCAACACAGAACCCCGTGGGCCTGTGAACACACCCTCGTGTGGGAGCCCAAGCCTGTGTCCATCAACCCACTGCCTACCGCCTCATTCYCTGCCACCCAGCCTCAGAGACCTCAGGCAGAGGTCAGGAAAAGAGCCTCGTGGTACACTTGGCCAACTTCCGGAGAGCAGCAGTCACACATACGTTCTAAAACCTTCCTGAGTTCCTTTTCTAGACTATTTTTGTTTTTACAGGGTTACTCTGCAAATGGTTGATAAAATTGTCAAATGGATAAAAGAAAATAGAAAAAGCTCTTCAGTGGTCAGTCAAAAAGATTGTAAAATTTTATTCATGCCATAGATCTACAAAAATAAACAGAAAACTTAAAAGCAGTTGGAAGTTAGTTTCATAGTTAAAAGACAGTAAGTATTCAATATAGAAAATGAAGTTAGAACTCTCTGGCTCTTTACATATGTACTATATGTAAGGTATGCCACTACTTCTTTGTGACTTAAGGAGCATTCAATAGTATTTAAAAGGAAATGCTGGAAGAAAACACTGTAACACCTCATGTTATATGTTTTAAACAGTGGCTTCTAAAATTAAAAACTTTAAACTGTAAAATATTTCATTGGAATCAGCTGGCTTTGGAAGTTTGCTCATGTGTGCTCTTCCCTGAGCCACAACCTGCACTGGTTTTCTTCACTCTTGAGCTGTCATTCCCACCTGGGCTACATCTACCCAGCTCCTGCCCACCAACTGAGACTCTGCAGGCATCTCAAGCAGCTGACTGTTGGGAGTTCAGCTACTAAAAACTGAATGCCCCAGAGAATAGGATGCACTGAAATTTGGTTTTCTTAAAAGTCTTTCTCTCAAGGCCAAGGCCAGAAGCCGTGACAGCCCCATGTGGGTGGTGGCTGAGTTCCGGACCCTAAGCCTGGCATCATGGCTCCTGAGTAACTGACCAAGAGTGTGGATGTGCTGCAGTTTTGATTATTTCAAGTATGCTGTTTTCAAAAGGCAGAATGTCTTACTGACCACAGATTACAAGAAAGCCTTTCAATTTTCTTTTTTGACATGTTTGAACAAGCAGATGAATGCAACGTGTTTCACAGAAACCACACAAACCCAGGTCAGGTGTGAAATGTTTGTTGTTTTTACCTGACAAGTCAAAACTGTGAGACATGCTAAGTGGCCGCATTGCTGGAAAAAAGAAAACAAACAATAAAAGAAAACAGTTCAGCTGTTAGGAGTATACAGGAAAGAAAGAAAGAAAGAAAGAAAGGGCGGAGCGCCAGCACACCTAAGCCCCCAGGCTGCTAGAGAGCAGGCCTGAAGGTGGCAGCACCATGCAGGAACCTGAGCCTCCACTGGGTCACTGAGACTTGACATGCAGGGACAACAGAAGGGAAAATGAAGATGAAGAATTGCAGAATAGAAAGCCACAGAAGGATCTTTCACTTAAATATAAAATAGACCCAAAGGAAAAACGGGCAAGTTTTAAAACAGGATTTTAGGGAATGTATACAATGTTTAGAATTTTAGCACACAAATGTAGTCATGTAAGTCAGGGTGAAAATTTCAATAATGTAAGTCAGGATGAAAATTTGGTTTTCTCAATAAAGGTGAAACATTTCAGTTTAACAGTCTCAGGAATCAGTGGCATCACAACGTGTTATATACTGTGTCTTCAGATATAAATGACTTCCAAAAAGGGTGCTTGGCACACAGTAAAAACAAACAAACAAACAAAAAAAAACAATGATTACTATTTCTTAAGATCATTATTTCCGTCTTGTTGAAATAATCTGTTTCTAAAATTTATTACATATCATGAAACCGCCAAAATATGTACTTTAAGTGGGTAAATTTTAGGGTATGTATRTTATACCTTACCCAAGCAGGCAGAGGAGGCTGTGAGAGAGATCTGATGGATTTGGTACTATAAYAGAGCTACCAACTTTCATTGCAGTCCCAAACC